AAAAAAAAAAAAAAATTAAAGAAGAAAAGTAGTGAATTCAAAAGTAATGAACGCGAAGAAACAACGTCTACTTAAAACGCGTTTATTAATTCGCGTCTTAAGTCTCTCTCACGAAACGAATCTCGAATTTTTTTCAGAGAAGTGGAAGCGCGGAAATTAAACTTGACATTTCCGGTGATGTTCAACCCGGTCACCTGGGACGCTCATCTGTTTCCGGTGTTCTTCGGCGGAAGCGTCATCAATGACGATTTCACCATAGAATCGGCGCCGTCGGTGCAGCTCGCTTACTTTATCACCGTCGACAGTCCGCGGCAGGATGCAATGTAAGTAATCTATCGATCACGCTCGCAAACACGCCAGAATTCGCTGATGAAATTGGTCCAGTTGTTTTCAATCACGTGCGACGTCAATCTCGCAAGTAACGCTGACCGTTGTTTACTAACGCCGGCATGCTCGAAGTTTGCATGAAAAGTACATGCTCTATATCATATCGCGGAACGATATTTGTGGAGTTCTACCGCGTTCAAGAATAATTTTTCATCAGCGATTTTTCACCGGTTTTGATTTTTTTCCCTTAAATTAAGGTTTCTCAGATGTTGCATTTTTTGCTAAAATATAGATACCTCGCACCGGAATTTAAGTAAACTATTGTGTCTCGTCTGATTTTGACTATATTTTACTTTGTTATATCGCGTCCTATAAAAAACCTTGTAAAATCTTGTAAAATGAAAACTTTATAAAAACTATAGATCAACATTTTTTAATGTTGATAATAATCAACTTGTGCTTGTGGAAGTAGTATCTCATTAATTCACTACATGGTCGCCTGTCGATCACCAATTGAATCATTTATCGCTATCAGCAGTGCAAACAATAAGTATCTGATTCATTCATGACCATTTATATTGATTGCCTATTGTTATCGTTAAAGATGGTAAAGCGTATATTGATGGTCTTCTAGCTATACTTGTCTCTGCGACATTTTAATTATAGATCACGTTACTTTGTCAAATTTGTTTTGTCAAATTTTTGTTCAAAAAGTCAAATTTTGAGAGAAGAGATCAAATCGATATCTCGTAAAATACACGTCGAATTTCCTTTAAATCGAAATTTCTTCGTGATATCCAACGTATCATGCGACGTAGTCTTCGGTAGATCTTCAGTAGGCTTCGGCGTAATCTAATTCTTTTCGATTTGCCGAATCAGCGGCGCCGCCTGGGAAGAGGCTTTTCTGGAAGTCGTCGGCAAGGCCGAGGACGGAGGTGCGTTTAAGCACATTAGCACCGCGAGATTCGCCTCGAGGACCCTCGAGCTGGAGCTGGAGGCCAACACGAAGACGGTCGTGCCGTATTTTGCCAGCACGTTCATCATAATGGGCCTGTTCTCGGTCGTGACGTGCATGATGACCGACTGGGTACGCAGCAAGCCTTGGCTCGGTCTTCTGGGCAACCTCTCAGCCGCCATGGCGACGGTTGCCGCTTTTGGATTGTGCATCTACCTGGGGATCGACTTCATCGGTCTCAACCTCGCCGCCCCGTTTCTCATGATAGGTGAGTGAAATTCTGAGTAAAATTCTTTGAGAAGAAAAATGTCGAGTTTTTGTTCTTTCTCTACATTGAGGAAAAGGATTCTTTAGACTTAATAATTCTACTTCTACTATGACTTGAATTTATTTAATTTAAACAACATAATTTTATATTAAACATCACTTTGTTAAATTAAGAGTTTTGTTAGAGTGTACCATGTTGTTTAACAGAGAAAACACTATTATTTAAAGGAAATAAAATTCATCTTTGAACTAAATAATATTTTGTTTGGCTAGATTAAATATTGTTTCAATGAAAGAAAGAGATTCTTTATTGTTGAAGTATATAATAAAGAGCGTTATTTTTTTGCAAACAATTTATTAAACAAATATTTTATTTAAAAATAAAG